AAGGAAAACCAACCACAGGACTAGAGCTGTTACAAACCAATCATTCATTTATGGGGCTGTAGCCAGGATAATGCAGTCAGAGAGGTACTCCCAGGCCACTCTTAAAGGATGAGAAGAACTGTATATGTCCCTGATTCTCACCAAGTTCAAAGACAGAACGAAACCAAAACTACCATTGCTAGATTAGTGTTGTTAAGGGACTTCCTAGTCACATTAGTAGCACTCGACCTACATGAAGATTTTTCCATATGTTCTGGAATTGCTCTTGAGGCCTGAGTGTCTTCCTTGCCTTCTCTACTCTGTTAACAACAGGACAGATATATTTGGTTCACAGAAAAGGAAATACAAATGGACTATAAAGGGGTGAGGAGATGTTGAAACTCACCAGGAATCATGAAATACAAATTAATGCAATAAATGAAATACCACTTTCACTCAACAGTTTAGCAACCATTAAAGACAATATATATCAAGGGCTATTAGGCATGAGGAAGAAGGCACTTTCTACACTATTGATGGGAGTAGAGCTTCAAATAGCATTTTTATAGGGAGACTTCAAAGTATCTATAGAATTTTGACACAGTGATTTTATTTCTATGGAGAAAGATGCTTCAAGAATAATCACAGATGTGCACAAATTTCTCTATGCATATTCAACATGACTCACTGGGATTTACCCCAGACATGCAAGGTTGATTTTACATACGAAAATTAATCAATGTACTACAACATATCAATATAATAAAGAACAAAAATCAATGGTCATCTTAGCAGAAGCAGTAAAAGCCTTTGACAAAATCCAGCACCCTTTCATGATAAAAATATTCAAAAGACTAGGAATAGAAGGGAACTTCTTCAACCTGATAACAAGGCATCTACGAAAAATCCACAGCTAATATATTTAGTGGTGAAAGACTGACAGCTTCCCCCAAGATCAAGAACAAGACTAGGATATCTACTTTCACCATTTCTATTTAACATTGTACTGAAAGTTCTAGCCAGACAATAAATTAAATTAGGCAAGAAAATGAAACAAAAGGGATCCAGATTGGGAAAGAAAAAGTAAAATTATCTCTATGCACAGATGACATGATTTTGTACAAGAAAACCACAAGGAATCTAAAAAAATTTTTAGAACTAATAAACAAGTTCAGTGAAGTTGAAGTATATAAGATCGCTATACAAAAATCAATTGTATTTTTATATATTTGCAATGAACTATCCAAATATAAAATCAGGAAAACAATTCCATTTACAAGAGCATCAAAAGGAATAAAATACATCAACGTATTTTATTATATTATATAAGATATTAAATATCACCAAGGAAATACGAGGCACGGACACTGAAAACTTCAAAACATTGTTGAATGAAATTTAAAAAGACCTAAATAAAGAGAAAGACATCTGTGTTCATGAATCAGAAGACTTAATATTGTTAAGATGGCAATACTCCCCAAAGCAATACACAGATTGAATATAATCCCTACCAAAATTCCAGCTGCCTTTTTTGCAGAAATAGACAAGCTGATCCTAAAATCCATATGGGTACACAAGGGATCCAGAATAGCCAAAGTGATTTGGAAAATGAAGAACAAAGAGGACTCATGCTTTCCTATTTGAAAACTTACTGTAAAACTATAGTCTTTTCAACAAATGGTATTGAGACAACTGGATATCCACATGTAAAAAGAATGAATTTGGGCCTCTACCTCACATCATGTACAAAAATTAACTCAAAATAGATCAAGGACCTAAGCTAAAACTATAACACTCTTAGATGAATACATAGGAGAAAATCTCAACAACCTTGCATTAAGCAATGGGTTCTTAGATATGACACCCAAAACACAAGCAATAAAAGAAAAAAAATAGATGAATTTGACTTCATAGAAATTTTTTATAAATTGTGTTTCAAAGGATACTATCAAACTTGGGGAGGCACTTCAGAGAATCCTTTGTTTTCCAGGAGCCTCAGCAGACTTACCTGACCAGTTGTTAGCTGTATGAACCCCTAGAGAACACAAAGATGGAGGTCACTTGGAGAAGCCAACTGGCCACCCAGAAGGTCAGAAGGCAGCCGTTCTTTAATGTGTTCACCATGCCCAACAACCAATACACAAATAGTCAGTGTGCTGTTGCATCTCTGGCTTCATTTTTTCTGCATTTCCAAATTGACCATTTCCAGCTAGCACTCTTTCTTTAGGTAAATAGTGTGTTCTGGGCAATAGTCAAGCTCTGTTCTTCTTGCTTTTTGTACATGAACAGTTTTATCGCATCAACAAAAATCTATTAATCATTTCCTACATCAGGCACTGTGCAGAGTACTTTAGGCCTGAGAGACATTCTATCTAAAATAACAAGATATGGAAACAACCTAAATGTCCATCAATGGATAAATGGCTTTAAAAAAAAAAAAGTGTGATGTATATATACACGATGGAATATTATTCAGCCATGAAAAAGGAGGATATTCTGCCATTTGTGACAACATGGATGGACCTCGAGCACATTACTCTGAGATAAGTCAGAGAAAGACAAGTAGTGTATACTATCACTTAAACGTGGAATTTTTAAAAAGTCGAACTTGAAAAACAAAACAGTGAAATAGTGGTTACCAGGGAATGAGGGTGAGGGGATAAAAATTGATGTTATGTAAAGGTACAAACTCATAATGAGTAGTAGATAAGCCATAGTTATCTAATGCACAGTATAATAAACATAGACAACAATATTTTGCTGTAATTATGTAATGTGATAAACATCACCACCATGGCAATCATATCACAACATATAAATGTATCAGAGCAACACATTGTATTGCCTTAAATTTATACAATTTTATATGTCAAATCTATTCAATTAGAAATAAATTAATTTTTTTAAATTTGCAAATATTTGTGTTTAGATCTGTCTTTTAGTTAATTAGGAGCTTGAGACTGGATGGTCAGTATTCTTAGCTGCTGGGTGCATCCCAGCTCAGCTTTCAGTCTCATTTTATTAGACATCTATCAGGGTTCTAGGCATGCTTCCACATGGCTCCTATGTACCCCTTACAGGCATAATTTTACATACAATACTGCCTAGTAATAACAATAACATTAAGCAGCTGTTATGCATGCCTTATGTGCAGTGATATATTAAGTGCTTAGATGCATTTTCTCATTTGATCCTTACAAAAATCCTATGCAAGAGATATTATTAATGTCTCCATATACAGATGAGAAAACTGGAGCATAGAGTGGCCAAGTAATTTTTCCCAGAGTCACGCAGTCAGTAACTGACTAAGCCAAGACTCTGCCCCAAGGTTGTCAAACCAGAGAAGTTACGTGCTTAACCATGATGCTAATATTAAAATATTCATACAATGTTCAGACCAGCCTGAATTACCAAAAAAGAGGTGAAAATATGCCCAGTGTCTTTCATTTAAGAAATAAATATTTTAATATACTTTTTAAAAAGGTTTCTATCCAAAGTGGATAAAACTATTTTAAGCATTGGTGCTTAAAGGAGTAAGCATTAGTTGTCAGAAAAATCCACTTTTGTGAAACGACTCATTCTCCAAAAATGCCAGACCTACAAGGTGTTTCTGTATCATCTAGTATTCTTGGAACTGCAAGGAAGATCAGTATATCTTCTGGCAGCTTCAGAGTGCAATAATCATTGGCAACCTCACCATGTTTTTATTTTACAAATAAAAATGAAAATATCATGATCTGTACCATAGCAGCCATCATTCTATAAGGGATACAGAGTTGTCTACCTCGAAAGCCATACATGCCCATGCCCATGCACACACACGTGTCCATATGCATGTACGTGTATGTATGCGTGCGCACACACGGAGCTAAAATTGGGCAATAGGGGACCCTGGAATAAAATATTCTGGACAAGAGAAGCCTGATGCTATGGCTAACTTTAGGAAAAACTCTGAAGCAAGCAAAGTTTATGAGGGGCAAAGCCATTTGTACTGCTATTAATAATAGTAGCTGACACTTGAAGAATACTAACTATATGCCAGGTACTCTTCCGCAGACGTGAATTTATTGAAATATCACACCAATCCTATGAAATCGGTGCTGTTATTATTCTCACTTTACAGGTAGGGAGACCGAGGCATAGAGGCATTGTTAAGTAACATGCTACTAACATTGTTAAGTCACAAAACTACTAGTGAGAGAGAACTGAGATTTGAATCCAAACAGTCTAGTGTTAGAGTCCATGTTCAAACTACTACTAATAATTCTCCACAAGTAATACCACTAATGCATGTCTACACTTATGTCCCTGGTCCTGTGTTAAGCACTCTATATACATTATCTCATAGATCTTTTGAGGTTAGAGCTCTTAGCTCAAAACTATTATGTAGCATCTAATTTGAACCTTAAAACAACCCCAAGAGGTACCTATTATTGTGCCCATTTTACAGAAAAAAAAACAATGAGGCACAGAGAAGTTACTTGGCACACAGGCAAAAGTACCACCTGCCTCTCAGTAACACCCCTATATGCATTGCAAGGATCCGTATAGTATAAAATAATGCAATGTAATTTATTATACAATTTCTACCTCAGAGTCAGAGTCTCAGCTTTTCAAGGCCTCTATTCTAAAATGTTAATGGGAAAAATTAACAGTAGACTTTATTCCAAGCTCAGGGCAGATGTAGTGACCCTCTGCAGCAGCCAGTGTCCCACTTTGGGTTATCTTTAATGGGGAAACATACCACACAAGCTCTGTCATCAGAAGCCTTATTTCAGGGCTTAGATACTGTATCTAAAATATATCGTTTTCTGAGTTTTGTTTTGTTTTGTTTTGAAGCTGGTTTCTGGAAAAGCCAAACTAGCAAGCCATCACTGGGGACCACCAATCTCACCCATGGTTTCCATGAAATGCTTCCTCTGTTAACAGTGAAAATAAGCCAAGGACTTATACTACAACACTATCTTCACTAGCAGAGTGAAAAACAATGACAACAAAGAAGACAACCTGGGTGGGCTTACCTCCACTTGAAGGGTTGCACATCCTTTCAGGAAGTCGTTGATGTTGTTGATGCAATCAGCTTCTGTTTGGGGCTCCAGACAGTACTAGAGAAACATAGCCAAATGTCACCTGGAGACTGTCATCCCATGCCAAATGTACCATATTCACTATTCGCTAGTAACTACATAGACAGGCTTTTTAAGGCAGGGAGCAACATTGCTGTCAATCCAGGAAGAGAAATAACCACCAAAGGAAGTGATGCAAAAATCTAAACGGTCGGTCTTTGTTTCAAATGTCATCAAACTTTTAGTCTCAAGTCATCTCTACTTATAAACTTTTTTCTCATGCTTTTTGCCCTAGTGTGGTGAGAGCAAATTAGAGAAACCCAGACAAATTAGAGAAACCCAGTTTTTTGAGCTTGGTTTTGCTTTCAACTAACTACCTCTCTCCCGTTTCTTCATGATAATTTATTCAAAGTATGTTTTTCCCTTTGCTGTTCTCTACATTTAATCACAATTCTCTACCATTTATCACTATTTTCCCACTGTTTTTCAAGTTTAAGAAATTATAAGTAAATCAATTTGTTCAATAAAAATACAAACTGGTTCAAGAGGGCAAAAGATCTATACTCACAGTCACATTCCCTGCTGACCTTAAGAAAATAATTGTAGGACTCTACCTTTAAACTGACTTAAAGTGTACTTTAGAAATCATCCATCTTCATGTTTCCAACATTAAAAATTTGAGGTTTTTAAAGAGAATAAGGGTAGTTTCACTTTGAACATATGCTGCATTCGAAACACATAGTTAGTTTTTATTGTTTTAACAAACCTGACATTTGGGATTATTTCTCCTAGTTGCTAAATAGCCTCTCTTTCAATGGATATTTTATTTCTTTGAGAAGAAAATCTATATTGGTTTTAGTTAAATTGTCAATAAACATCATCAGCATCTGTTATAAATCATCCCATTATTTCACAGACTCATGCACCCCAAGTTCAAAACATGTCCTCAGTAACAGGAAGGTGTAACATGTATCTCTATGACAGAGCAACCTTGTGATATGGATGTTCTCCTTGTCCCCTGGCACCAGTGGTATAACAGGTTTTGTTACACTAATATTTGGTGGCTAATTACTGAAGAATAACATTTCATTTTCTGACTTTTTCAATCTACAAAAACGGTAAGAAAAAATATCTAACTTTTAGAAAGAGATTAAAGTAGGAGAGTCCCAAGATTTGGACAACAGAAAATCTCAAGAGTCACATTATTGCTGCTCTCTGGTGGTAAGCACTCCCAAGGATACTGCAAATGTCCCTTACCTTTTCTACAGAGCCAGGCCTCAGTCTGCTGATCAGCTTGCACAGCACTACCCCATTTTTCAGCGAGGACTTCAAGAACTCCTCCGGATCACAGATGGTCTTTTTTGGGGAATCTAAAACTCCCAAGGATATAAGCCATGTCACGATTCGCTCTTCTGGATTCATTATTGAGGACTGTCTGCTCCGAACAGCTCTCTGGGGTAACTGCAAGGACTAAGCCACATCCGCGATTGCATCTGTTGTTGTCTTCCTTTTTATGAGTTCTCTTCTGGTGCTTGCAGAGCAAAGCTTTAAAACAACTTTTCTTAGACAATGGTGGAATCCACTCAAATTATGGGATTTCAAAACCACAGAGATCAAACTCAAAGATGTGGAAAGAGAATGAATATAAAAATCATGGATAGCATTAGTTTTATTTTTCAAAACCTGCAAAACAAATTTATTAGGATGAAAAAAAGAAGAAACATACACACACACACACAAAAAAAACAGTGCAAGAAGCTGTAAGGGAAGGAAGTGAGGAGGATGCTGGGGAGGGAGGAGAAAGAAAGAAGCAAGGGCTCTTGGAAATCAGAGGTGACCCAGCACTTCAGGGGATAGTGGAAATGAGACACTTTTGAGCCAATCTGGGAAAACGCTGTCAATAAATAGTCTACCTCCATTGAAAATCTGGCTTTTGTCACGAGGACAATGCCAACTGGCTCTTAGGTCAAACAGATATGAGGCTTGTTGGGAGCTGTGCTGGCACAACAGGACTCAAAAAAGGTAGGGTGAGAAAATTCTTCCATGAAATAGTCGGATGTCCTCATACTGTTTCACAGAGATGGTATGTCACGATCATTTCTTGCAAAACACGTTGAGTTGCATGGTGACACTGTGCCAAGCAAATAAAGATTGTGCCTGCTGTCACCCATCACTGTATATAAGCAGAAGCTAGAAAAATGGCATTTTACTTTGCAGCCAAAAAGCTATGTTTAGGGAAATAGGCTAAGGATAACATCTGACATCCTGTTTACTTGCATTCTTTAGAAATTCTTTTTCTGGACCTGGTTCCACTATACAATCCAGCTGCAGTACCCTTAGCAAAGGCTCAGACAGCCACTTGAAAACAGAACTTTTGAGAACAAAAGAACATTTGTCCTCTGTCTATACAGCAGTCTGGAAGGTTAATGTTTCCCCAACGATAAACATTTTGCATTAAAAAATGTTGCTCTGAAAAAAAAGCTGGCCTATAACAAGAGATCTTCACTATTTTCAAATATTTTCAGGAACAGTTGAAATAGTCATACTATTGGGAAATTTATGATAAGGCCAGCTTTAACAATATAGTCTTAAATTGGCAAATACATGGTACTCACCATCGCTACCCTTCTTAAGGATGCATGGGATCCTCTTAATCTTCAGAATCCTATTTAAAACAGCTTTAGGCATGTACTACCAAATAATCAGCTTAGATAATCCTGCTAAATGTTTTCAAAGCTCCCCCTTCTTGCCCTGTCATAACACTTATCTCACTTTACTATTATTGCTTTTGATTTGTCTCCTCCACCAGAATGTAACCTCCCTAGAGTAGGGGTCTTGTCTGTCTTGTTTAACACTGTTCCCAGTAGAGTGCCTGGTACACAGTCGCTGTTCAAAAAAACTGAATGAATAAATGAATAAACTCATATGGACTCCCATGTATAGACATTACCTGATTACAACAAGGATTTTTAAATTTGTTTTAATGGCTTAAAACAAATAGTTTTTTCTTGCTAATGATTTTTATACTTTTATTGAGATTTAATCGACATAATAAACTGCATATATTTAACACATACGATTTAATTAATTTTGATGTTATGCATATACCTGTGATACAATCGCACACACACACAATCCAGATAAACCTTTCCATCACCCCCGAAAGTGTCCTTGTAACCTTTAACCCCTTCTTTCTTCCTTTCTGCCCAAATTTCAGACAACCACCAATCTACTTTCAGTCCCTATACATCAGTTTGCATTTTTTAGAATATTATGTAAATGGAAATACACAGTTTGTTACCTTTTTTGGTCTGGCTTCATTGACTCAACACCATCATTTTGAGATTCATTTATGTTGCTGTGTCTATCAATAGCTCTATAACAAAGATTTGACCTCCAAATGTTTAGTTTGATGTAATTACACTTCTAAGCAAAATAGGTATAATCAATCAAAAGTTTTAATTGACTTTTGACCCATAGCCAAGTCTATATAATGAAAAAACAAAAACAAAAACAAAATCTATTTGTTGATAAATGAAATTCCTAAATCTGACCTGCTTAAACACATTTTTATATGTCACTTGGACAATTTTCACAACTGCTCATCAAAATTGTACTCTATAGACAAATAAATCTGGCAGTATTATTGAAGTATTACTTACATTTTTGGATGAAGACCAAAGCCTGAGTAATTTTAGGAACACAGCCTAGTCCAAAACAGGCTTGCGCCCATTGAGGTCACCTAGATGAAAATCTGCCTCATTTTGGACACTGGCTTTAGCAAATTACTCTAAGTAATAAAGTAAAATCAGAAAGGCAAGGACACCTCCTCAAGGCAGAAGAAACAGTTCTATTAGTGTAAAGATTGGAAGTCAGTGTTGGTATGGTCAAATGTCAAGAAAGCAAGGAATTCTGGGGCAGTAGCAAGTATATGGGTGATATAAGTAACTATGAAACCCTGGCTGTTAAGGAAGCCAGTGACGATAAAGAGGAGCTGATGAACAGTAGAAATAGGGTTGGGTTTGGAAAGACTGGAGGACACAGTGGCATAGAGAGCAGGCTTCACACAAAAGCATGGGTAAAAAGAGCAAAGGTCTCTCACTCTACTTCAGATCTTTAGTACCAAACACCTTGGGCCACTGAACCTGTATTTTCACCGGCTTCCCCACCTCTATCTTCTCATCCCAATGAATTCTGTGGCAGAGTACAGTTTGGTCGATTTTCCAAAAACATCTCTTTAATAGTGTTATACCCCTGCTCAATAACCATCAAAGGCTCTCCATTGCCTTAAGCAATGATTTACAAACAATGATGTACAAAAATAATCACCTCTTGTGAGGGAGGGAAGGGAAAGGAATGAGAATGGAACTTGAACCAAAATAGGTAATATTTTATTAAAAATAAAAAGATCTGCAGGAAGTAAGGTAAATGTCAACATTTCTTAAAACTGGTTACACTGGAACCTGTTATACTATTTACTTTTATGTGTTTAAAATCTTCATAATTGATTTGAATTTTTTTAATCTACAGAGGCACTTGTTAAAAGTTTTAGGGGCCTTATTCCCCAATACTTTAGTTCAGAAGATCCTCAATGAGACAAAGAAATCTATATTACTAAAGTACCCCACTTGATCCTGATGAAGGCAGGCCAAGGTCACACTTGGAGAAATAAGTTGATTTATAACCTTTCATCCCAATTTCTGCCAAACCTGGGTCATCTTAATATCCACAAGAACAACAATCCAACATCAAAACCACTCAGTTCCTTAACCGCTTATAAGTGTTATTGATGTATTATCTCTCGGTCTCTCTTTATGCCTGTTCTGTGAAAATGGACCTGGGTCCTTTAAATTTGCCAACTGGCATGATATGAAATTTTATCAAGTTTTATCTGTAGACAGTGCTGGAGAGACATTGCAGGAAGACAGGCTTTTACTTCCTGTTTCCTGTGTGCTCACTTCACAGGCTCCTGCCAAGCTCCCAGTTTTTCTGATACTCACTTTCTGGAGCATTGGCTTCCTCACTGCACAATGGGTAGCATCATCCACTGGGTAGCTTCCACTGGCACCACCCTTGGATGGTTCAGTAGTGAAGTGTCTCTGGTGAGACATTTCTCCTGTAAAAGGAACCAGTACCCTGGAGAGGCACATTTTCAGCAAATCCCAGAGGGCGGATGTCCAGCAAGTCCCACTGACTCAGCACCACATAAACTTCTCTAACAAGGCCTGGATCTCAGCAGCTGGTAGAGAGGCAGGGTATCACAGCTCTAGAGGAGTGTCAATTATATATTATTTTTATAGAGTCTGATATAATGTAGCATATATGTTAAGCCTATATCCTTTTAGAGTTCCCTTTACTTCTTGCCAGCCAATCCCTCATTACTCCAATCCCATTATAATTAATAATTTTTTTCACGTTCACCCATAAATACTTAAATGTGCATAACTAAATTAGAAATTTAATTCTTACAAGAGCACAATACCATATGTGAATGAAAAGGGAGGCTGTGTAATAAACCTGAAAAGCTCACGGGGGCCACAAGGCATGCCTGACAAACTCAGGGACCAAAAGTAACCATACAGGATGGTTTCATCACAAATCCTTAACTGGGCAGGCCATGGCAGGTAGTCATGTCCAAGGCCTATAGCTTCCTTAACACAGGTCAGTCTTTACCTTAAGTAAGCTCTGTCCACTGTTCTTATGCATATAAGGTAAAATATCTTTGAAATATGAGTGTAATTGTCTTTTCCTACCCCTCAAAGACATAACCGCCAGCACCAGAACACAAGACCACCAGAACAGGAGAGCACAAAACCCCTCATTGTTTTCTTGTTCCCTGAATACCATCTCTGTGTACTGTAAATATTATTAACTGTCCTGTACCTACCAATGTAAAAGAAGTATGTGTTTCTGCATTTTGCCTTTTATTCAATTCTTCAGATTTCCTCACTTTGCTTTCTCCCATTCCCTTAATCTACCACCAATGAATATCATGTAATCTTCCTTACGGCTCCTCCTTTGATTCTAATGTATAAAATAGGATGCAAAACTGCCATTATCTGGAGCATTTTCTCAACCTGTTAAAATTTTGATTGCAGGCAATTATCATCAGTTTGGCTCAAATAAACTCATAAAAATCTTCTACATGTTTGGACATTTCTTACATCAACACATAACTCCTAACAACATTTGTAATTCCTGAGCATCACTTAATATTTGGAGTTTGAGTTTCCCTAATTGTCTCACAAATGTCTTTTTACTGCTGGTTTGTTCAAATCAAGTAAAGAGAAATGGTTCTTCTGAAAGAAGTGGAAGCTTTTCTTTCCAGAAACCCCAGCAAATCTCCTTGTGCCTCATTGGCCTGAATGAATACTGGGCTCCTTCCTGAACCAATCACTATGGCTAAGCATGGGCTATGTTAGTTTAAGTCCATCACATCCCATACCTGGAG